TCAGTCATAGTGTACATTAATTTTCACACAATGTTAGGATGTTTTTTATATATGTTGTTTCGCAAGCTTTTTATCGGCGAATTTTGTGATCTATGAGGATGAATTTCTTAAATTATTCAGAGAATTTTTTCTCACCAAGGTTGTTTTCTTTTTGACATGTAGCCCTTACGGAATGTGTGCTGCTCAAGCTCAAAGATACAACATGCAACTTCTTGGACCTTGGAAGTAAAAATATTATGAGCTCGCAGACCATAAGGGTCTGAACAGAAATTAAATTGAGCATGGTTACGGTTTTAGGAAACTGAAGTGTTATTTGCTAACGGTCTTATGATAACCTCATGTTGATTCCAGTGTGGAATCTTCACTTAAGAGACTAAAGAGCCATTCCAAATCCAAGTCGTCAGTTTCTTCAAATGTATTACGTAGCTCGTAAGCGCTCGGTCGATCATCAGGATCGTGCTGTAAAGCCTCAATGACTAACCTCTGCACATCCCTGGAGCCACGTGCGCGTCTGGAAAAAGCTATGTCAGTTTCTGGATTGTGCCTTGCCATCGCAAACCCAAGGTCAACTTTTCCAACACCGCGAATACGTTTGAATGCACTGCAATACTCTTTTCCATTGCTTTTTATGTAATCCCGTTGTAGGATGGCAAAAAACAGCATGCCAAGGGAAAAGTGTAGTGACCCGTGGAACATTCAGGAGCTAGCCAACTTCGGAGTCCATGCGGTATTGTACGACCATTTGCATCCACGAGCCATCGTTTCTTCGAGCGTCAACTCGTCTTAGTACGATGTACTCGCGAGTCAGGCCAAAGTCGGCTAGTTTAACTTTTCCACGTCTGTTCAAAAGTGCATTTTCCGGTTTTAGGTCGCGGTGAACCACACCGTTTGAGTGAAGGTAGGCTACGGCATCAGCAGCTTGACTCATCCACTTCCAGCTGGTTCGTTCGGAGCTTGGTCGAGCAAGGCGTTCGTTTAACTTTTCCACCCGCGCAATACTCAGTCAAAATCAACATGTGCAAGTTGTTTTGACTGTCGACGAACCGATCTGCTCTCTTTAGGGCGATTATGTTTTCGTGGGAGATTTCGCACAGTGTCTCTGCCTCACGGATTGCATCAAGAACTTGTGAAACGTTTAAACAAAGGACGTCTTTTAAGGCATAGTCTTTCGAGCGCGCTTTGTCTCTTACTTTGTAAACATCTCCAAATGCACCACTACCAAGGTGCTGTTCGACTCTCACTGTTTTGTCGCCTACACGCAGTCTTGGGGGAAGATCAATCCCGGCTTGTTGCATTTCGGGTTTTTCAGGCCACAACCGTTCTCTTTATTTTTATTCGAAATGGCAATTTGATGGAAACAACGAGTTCAGCCGCTGCGTTATGGTTGGTTCTGATTTCTCGGAAAAACGAACTAGCCAATTGATTTGACATAAGGGAACTTACAGGGGTGGTGTTATTTCAGTGGTACTCGGTATTAAGGCGATATTTCGATTGTGCATGAGTTGAACTGTTGTATATTTAATTGAGGAAGTCTTACAGTATCATTATTCAAAGCTTGGTTGTTTTAGTTGCTTTGGTTGGGATTAATTCGGGATGAGCCTTTGTAAACGGAAGACCCCCCCCTTCCCCCCGCTAGTCATAAAATGCAATGTTTTTCCGAGAATTCATAACCAAAATAAATGTTATGTCAAATAATTGATTATTTTGTCTGTTAAATATAGTAAACAGGATTAGCGCTTTTTCGATCAGGCAAAATACATTACAATGCAGGGTTTGCTTGAAGGTAGGAGCTAAAGCCAATTATTTCTGATGTTAATTTGTGCTTTATTATCCCTACCCATTTAGGAAGTAGTAACATCCATGATGTAATTTTTTTAGATACTATGGTTTTTCTTCTGGCATCTTTACACTGCAGTGATTTGTTTCCCTTTAATTACTAATTAAAGTTGAAGGTTTTGTCGTAATTCAACTTAAGTTGTGCTTTCAGGTTTTCTTAAATTTCAAGTTTTGTTCACATTTTGGTGCTTCTTAAAGCTTCACCTTTAATTGACTCTTGATTTGCCTTATCACACCCATATTCATGTATATTAATATAATTTCTGTTTTGGGTAATCTTCAAATTGTTAGGAAAAAAGACATACAAGTGATAACAAAAATTTTTTAAATTGCAGCGATGAAATAATTTTATAGATAACTCAATTGCTCCCCTAAGATAAAGCAAACCCACAATGAAGCTGAGAATATCTGGACTTGTAATATTTGAGGTCTATACATAATTAAAAAAGAGATGTTTAAATGTTATGAATTACTTATTGTCATACTTTATTAAAATTGTTTCTTTTTGCCAGGGTATAATTCATATAATTTCAATCATGTCATATGTAATAGAATCTTTCTCACTACAATACACAAAGAATGTAGCTAGCTATAATAATACACTACACCAAAAGCTTTTAATTCACATATTGTACTCTCAAATCCAGTGACTAAGAAACATGATTTGAACTGGTACAATAAAAAATACAAGTTTAACAGTTATCATCTAAAAAATCAGGATACTCTTCTAAATCAATCTAAATTGTAATAATTGTATACCAAATGTTACTTTATTACATATATAACACTTATTAGATATAATAGCATACCCTAATTACTTCTAGCAAAGCACTTACACAAATTAGTTTTCTTATTCTAAATGCAGTTTAAAACAAAGAAATGAAGTGTACAACTATGTATATCATGTGGAGGAAATCAAATGCAAAATTGAAGAATTCACAATTACTATTAAATGGTGCCATAAAAATTGCCAAATAACATGTTAAGTGAATAAGAAGCTTCATGCAAGCATGTAAAGGAACCCCAGGGCGTGAAATCGCGCCTAATACAGGTGTTAATGCGACTAAATCTTTCACTTTTGTTACCAAATCCGGTAAAATTTTGCACAGCCCCATTCTACATTATGTATCAGGAGCCCAATGGGCTCCCGATGCATTCAGTTCCTGGATGGAGAAAACAGTGACAAAAACAATACATTGCCATTGGGAAAACAGATTTGTTTTACAAAAGTATGGGGCTGTGTGGAAATTTTTACCAAAAAGATTTTCAAAGATAAATTCGCAGCAAACTTCCTCGTTAAGTTTGTTTCCAAAACGCAGCACATGCATCTCGATCGATAACTAGACGCCATCTTGGATTTAGGTGAGCTTGAACGTTGAATATCTTCCATCCTAGTGTCCACTTTGTAGCACGTTAAAGATCCTTTTCCTGGCTCAATTTTGGAGGTTTTATCTAGAAGGCTGACAGCGTAAAAAAAGGTTTTTTTGTTTTTAAGAATGGCGACCAACTTTTTTTGAATTGGCTACTACTTTGAAAAATTTAGAAGCCAAGTGGCTATCAGTAAACAAAATTAACTCCACGCCCTGAACCCCTTCTAAACTTGGCCAATTAATACTTTTTACTCAGGCTTGCCCAAAAGCCAAAGTCTGAGTACAGGTTTCGGCTTTGTTATATATTTTTTGTTGTTTTTCTTGTTATATAGTAATCTGGATAGATTGTGCATTTTCAAGCTGATTAATCAGCAAAACAGTAAGAGTGCTTCTTCTGCATTATTGCCCACTCTAGAATCTATTCAGTGGGTGTATATTTCACTAAAGGTTTCCCCATCAACCTGAGGCAGGATTCTATCTTAAGCTCTGGTAGTCAGCTTTTTTTTTAGAGTAAACCATATCAAGTCTTTTGATAATTTCTTCATTTGTTTGCTCTCCAATTGAAGTCTACCTACAAAGTATTTGGCTACTCTTAAAGAGTTTCCATCCTCATCATCTTCATAGCAGCTTTCTTCAACGCTCATTACCTCTATCATAAGTAATTCGGTTGCTCTCTTCTTTTTTATGCTGGTCAGCTCAGTTAACCACCTCAAAAGCTGTAGTTCGTCTCATTAACTTTTATGAAACAATACACCAAGCACGAGACTGGGTGTTTTAAGACTTCAAATGGAAAATATGATGCAAATCATTAATTACTCTTGAAGTATGCGAGTACATAGTGTAAGCATGGAATTCTTAAGCATGATATACTGTATAGTTTCTTCATCCTTATTTTTCATCAAATGGTCCATATAAACTATTGTTTATCACAAATAAACATCTTAATTTTTTTCTTTCTTTTGCCTCAACTACAGAATGATCTTTAGATTATATCATACAATTGCCAAATTTACTTTACATAGATTTTCTTGGAAGGTACTTTATGAAGACCAAAAACCATCATCAATAAATCCTCCTATATGCACAAAACAATTTTGGAGAGGACATGGTCTCATAAATGTGTTTATATGCAAAGCTATCCAATTCTGTCAACGCAATATCAACACCAATACTACAACAGTAACAATAAGTTATTCGCATAACATCTCAATATCTCTAGCAGCAGCTTAGACTCTGATTTCACTGCTTAATCAGGATAAAATAAAATATCTGAAACATTTTTTAATCTTAAAACATGTTACACACTCTTTGTCAAGATACAATCCACTAAAGTCATCTTTTTTTATCAGTTCACAAATCCTTCTCACAGCTCCCTAAAACAATGAAGAAATTTCAATCTGGAAGGCACAATTTGTCAAATTTTCTATTTTTACTTTCACCTTTTTTAAAAACCCTGGTTGTTTGAAGGCTAGATGGTGTAGAGCAATTAATGCCTGTGCAGTTAAAAATTAACCTTGCTCATCTGTATGAGTCAAAAGCACAGGTCCAAGAAAAAGAAGAAAAGGGATTTTCAAACTAGATAGCTCTCGTTGAAACAACGGAGAGAAATACCTTTTTGGTAGATCTGTTTGTGTCTAAAGGGATCATAATCATGTCAAATGATTACAGTATCGCCGAACTATACGTGCTATACTCAAGATGGCGGCATTTTCCGATGTTCCAATCGTGTTGATGTGAACCTTCGTTCGTAACAGAATGCTTCCACAGATAAAACAACAACAGTTAAAACCATAATGTGACTGACTTTTTTTTATTTTCGTTTTCTATTTTAGGATTACTATCTCCGTGATTTCAAACGACAGCGAAACGAACAACCTGAGTTTCACGAGTCAACATTTTACGAGGTTATTCCTTGTGATTTACTTAAGATGTTACTTTTCTTCAAGTTTAAACAACACTCGATAAAATTTCGGGCGAGATGACTTTCGGGCGACTTGACCGTAAACCCTTGACTACGTAGTGGTGCATTTGTGGCAATTTATATAAAATTCATAGACCTTCGGCCAGTCGGAAGGGCAAATATCTTCATCATCAGTAGTTGTATTGTCTTTATGAGAGCAAAATTTAAGAAAATAGGAATCTAGTCAGTAAGAATTCTTTCATGATTTGAAGTTCAACTGATCTCCTTTTTGGGTTTACAGTCAAGTCGCCCGAGAGTCATCTCGCCCGAAGTCATGTTGCCTGAAACCCGAGTCAAGTTGCCCGAAATTTTAAAAATGTCGCCCGAAAAAAACAGTCAAGTTGCCCGAAGAAACAAATATTTAAAGGATCTGAATTTCAGACTGTTAATAGGCAATATCGGTGAGAAATTTTTATCACTAAAGCGCTCTTTGTTTCCGACATCACCATAAAGATTCTTAAAGTGTTGTTCGTCGCCTAATTCGAGAGATTGTAGTAGACGCTAATAAAAAGAAAAGGGCCAACAAGGACTGTAATGTAGCGGTGTTGACAAGACGCCTATATGTCCTATAGAAACTCACAACCAAGATATATTCCAGAAATTCTTATATGCATGCCTCTTACCTTAATTTTTGTAACTTAGTCCTGTACCCAACAATCATGTGACAACGCTTTACATTAAACGACAAGTGTTAAATGTATAATTTTTAAGTTCTCTTCTAAGTTTCTTGTCTGGTCGTGTACCCAGGTAGGTAAGTGCTAGTTCACCTGTTCGGTAGACTTACACGCTTAGCAGCTCGAGCCAGCCTCAGTCGAAGACTCGCCAGGTTCTACACTTTCTTAATTAAATAACCCTCAGACGGTTGCAAATCTCCTGAGCGGTCGGTCGATCATACGGGTTGTACTTTAGCACTTCTAAAACGATCCTTTGTAGAGCGTTTGATCCTTAAGCGTGACTTGAAAATTGAATTCGTGTATTCCTATCAACCCTCTCCATCGCAAGGCCGACGCCAATCTTCCTTTTATCATGAACACTTACGAAGGCCCCGTAAATGGCTTTCCCGTCGATCACGATGTAATCCCGCTCGAGTATTGCAAAGAGGAGTGTTCCGAGAGAGAAAATGTCGGCCTTTTCAGTATAATGGCCGCGGAGAAATTCTGGAGCTACCCAGTGGATTGGACCTATTCTCGATTGCATGTAGTATTGCTCGTAAATAGCCAGCCACGAGCCATCATCCTGTACCACGCCAGCTCGTTTTATTGCGATATACTCACGGGCAAGGCCAAAGTCGCCCAATTTTACATCTTCTGATGCAGTCAAGAGCACATTATCTGCCTTCAGATCGCGGTGAACTATGTTGCACGAGTGAAGGTGGGCAACAGCTTCTGCGGTTTGGGTCATCCATGTCAGATTTTGTGGGTCGCTGCTTGGTCGAGCAAGGCGATCATTTAAGCTTCCGCCGGGGCAATACTCAGTCAAAAGCAACATATGCAGACCTCCACCATCGCCAAACTGGCCTACACTCACGATCGCAATAACATTTTCATGAGAGATTCTGTTTAGTGTTGAAGCTACACGGATGGCGTTACGAATGGCTGAACCATTCAAACAAAGGATATCTTTCATAGCGTACACTTTGGACGTTCTTTCTTCTATCACTTTGTAGACGACACCAAAAGCGCCGTTACCAAGTTGCTGTTGGATATTTACTATTTTCTCACCTACTTGAAGCCGCGTTGGAAGGTAAGTTTGGGCCATTTGAAAGTCGCCTCACAGATGTTATCTGGACAGAGCTTTGATCGACACGGACAAGCAACGAATATTTATCAGAGCTTCCCCTAATGTGAACCAGCGCGCATCGCGGCCTTTTGTGAATTTTGACTTCCGGTTATGAAGGTACAGGTTGAAACCCATATCTTGAGCGGAATTATAAATAAAGAATAACGCATAGGCACGCGTAGATATGGAATTTATCTTCGGGTCTCTTGCGATGTGTGCTGCCCAACCTCGAATAAACAACATGCAACCTCGTGGACCTTGGAAGTGAAAATATGGTGTGCTTGCAGACCACAAGGGTCTCAACAGAAAAATAGGTTGAGCATGGTTACAGTTTTAGAAAAGTAAAGAGTAGAGAGTGAAATATCAGTGAGATCATCAGTGAAATTTGTTTAAGAGAACTCACATCTTTCCATATATCTGCCAGGGACTGTGCCAGTTTCTCATAGTTTTTCTGAATCTCTTATTACAGCAATTAAATGATTCCTATCAGCAGACATTGCATTTCCACCTTCATTCAGCATATTAAAGGTTATATTGATGACATGTAACTTTTTGCCAATGTTTGTGCCATCTCCAGATATCATTGTAAGTTCATGGTGTACTTCATTTTAAACATTAAATCTTTTTGTGGTGTAAAGAAGTAAATTTATTTCATCAATGTCCTCATAAGTCAGGAATTTTAGGTTAGGAATTTTCCATTAATTTCCTTATTGTGAGCCTTTGCTTCCTTTAACTTCTCCTCAATTTTGCCTTTCTTGCACCTCTCCTCTTTAGGATCATCTTCAAGCTTTCTTTTCTACCCCTTCAATTCAATGTTTTCATTTTGTAGTCTTACTCAGCCGAGTTCATTGTAATAATCTTAAAGCTCCAGCTTGAATATTTACCATTAGTCCACTGGGAAAGTAGCTTTTTTTTAAGCCATTGCCTCTGGCTTTTGGGTTTCTCTGGTGCTTGACTTAATATCTAGATATTTGTTTTGAACTCCTCCACAGGTCTAGAATCTACTACCACACTAGCTAGGAACATTGCATTTCTGGCATACTTTCCATATCAGAATCTATAAAACAGATTCTACTCTAGGCAGGCTATCCCTCTCATCCATTCCTTGGGCTTCTTGTTTAGCTGATTTGTATATTTCGTAAAGAAGTTTACTGCCCAAGCAAAGTACACACAGACAGAGAAAATAAACATATGAAATTTATTGCCGAATACATGAAACTGGGCACACATTTCTAGTAAATTTTGACAGTGGACTTACTGGTAACTTACTCGTTTATATGGGCCTGAGGAATAATTGTTTGTTGCTGTTATTTCCGCCATTACTATTTCTAGTATTTTGCTTGTCTTTCCCGTCGTGTGGCACGGCTTTTATGACACAAACGAAGGCAAGCGTGATCTCAAGCACAGTAAGGGCCTGAAAGCCCCGCGGAATCGCAAACATCTGAAAACTATCTATGTTGAAACGCCGATTTGCATGTGTTTTTTGGCTCGAAAGATTTCGAATTTGGTGCCAAACTTATCATTAGATCCTAGACTTTTGCCTAGTTCGAGAGATTGTAGTAGACGTTGATGAAAAGAAAAGGGCCAACAAGGACTGTAACGTAACGCTGTTGACAAGACGCCTACATGTCCCTCAGAAACTTACAGCCAAGATATACTCCTGAAATTCTTATTTGCATGCTTCTAACCTTAATTTCTGTACCTTAGTCTTGCACCTAACAATCGTGTGACAACGCTGTACATTAAAGGATAAATGTTACATGTATAGTGTTACATGTATTTTTAAGTTCTCTTCTAAGTTCCTTGCCCGGTCGTGTACCAAGGTACGTAAATGTCGTTTCACTTGTCCGGCACACTCAAACGCTTAGCAGCACGAGCCAGCGTTAGTCGAATCAGTCGAAGGCTCTCCAGGTCTTATACACTCTTGAATAACCCTCAGAGAGTTGCAGATCTCTCGAGCGCTCTGCCGATCACGCGGGTTGTATTTTAGCAACTCAAGAACGTTTCTTTGTAGAGCGTTTGATCCTTGAGCGTGACTTGAGAATTGAATTCGTATATTCCTATCAAAATTCTCCATCGCATAGCCGACGCCAATCTTTCCTGCACCACGAATATTTACGAAGGCCCCATAAATGGCTTTCCCGCCGATCGCGATGTAATCCCGCTCGAGTATTGCAAAGAGGAGCGTTCCGAGAGAGAAATCGTCGGCCTTTTCTGTGTAATGGCCGCGGAAAAATTCTGGAGCCACCCAGTGGATTGGACCTATTCCCGATTGCATGAAGTATTTCGTGTAAGTAGTCAGCCACGAGCCGTCATACAGTTGCACGTCAGCTCGTTTTAGTGCGATATACTCACGAGCAAGGCCAAAGTCGCCCAATTTGACATCTTCTGATGCAGTCAAGAGCACATTATCTGCCTTCAGATCGCGGTGGACTACGTTGCACGAGTGAAGGTGGGCAACAGCATCGGCGGTTTGAATCATCCACTTCAGATTTTGTCGGTCGCTGCTTGGTCGAGCAAGGCGATCATTTAAGCTTCCGCCGGGGCAATACTCGGTCAAAAGCAACATGTGCAAACCTCCACCATCGTCAAACTGGCCTACACTCACGATCGCAATAACATTTTCATGAGAGATTCTGTTTAGTGTTGAAGCTTCGCGGATGGCGTTACGAATGGCTGAACTATTCAAACAAAGGATATCTTTCATAGCGTACACTTTGGAAGTTCTTTCTTCTATCACTTTGTAGACGACACCAAAAGCGCCGTTACCAAGTCGCTGTTGGATATTTACTGTTTTCTCACCTACTTGAAGCCGCGTTGGAAGGTTAGTTTGGGCCATTTGAAAGTCGCCTCACAGATGTTATCTGGACAGAGCTTTGATCGACACGGACAAGCAACGAATATTTATCAGAGCTTCCCTAATGTGAACCAGCGCGCATTGCGGCCTTTTGTGAATTTTGACTTCCGGTTATGAAGGTACAGGTTGAAACCCATATCTTGAGCGGAATTATAAATAGAGAATAACGCATGGGCACGCGTAGATATGGAATTTATCTTCGGGTCTCTTGCGATGTGTGCTGCCCAACCTCGAATAAACAACATGCAACCTCGTGGACCTTGGAAGTGAAAATATGGTGTGCTTGCAGACCACAAGGGTCTCAACAGAAAAATAGGTTGAGCATGGTTACAGTTTTAGAAAAGTAAAGAGTTGAAAGTGAAATTTCAGTGAGATCATCAGTGAAATTTGTTTAAGAGAACTCACATCTTTCCATATATCTGCCAGGGACTGTGCCAGTTTCTCATAGTTTTTCTGAATCTCTTATTACAGCAATTAAATGATTCCTATCAGTAGACATTGCATTTCCACCTTCATTCAGCATATTAAAGGTTATATTGATGACATGTAACTTTTTGCCAATGTTTGTGCCATCTCCAGATATCATTGTAAGTTTATGGTGTACTTCATTTTAAACATAAAATCTCTCTTGTGTATAGAAGTAAATTTATTTCATCAATGTCCTCATAAGTCAGTTCTTCAGTTTGAGATGAGGTTTGAATGTTCTCCTCATCAACCAGGGTAGGGGGTCTCATGTTCATGAGTGTTCTCATTGAATATTTCAGTTTTATTGGTCACAAAATTATGAAGCTCAAGAAATGACAGTGATGTTTCAAAATCTGTGACCATTTGTTTTCGAACTCTCGATCGATGCCTTTAGCTATAATCTGAAAATGTTTTCCTTTTACCAAGGCCTCTTGATTTCTGTTCCTTTTGCAGTTTCATAAATTTCTGAACTAAGTTTTAACTTTGGTTAGGAATTTTCCAGTAATTTCCCTATTGTGAGCCTTTGCTTCCTTCAACTTCTCCTCAATTTTGCCTTTCTTGTACCTCTCCTCTTTAGGATCATCTTCAAGCTTTCTTTTCTACCCCTTCAATTCAATGTTTTCATTTTGTAGTCTTACTCAGCCCAGTTCATTGTAATAATCTTAGAGCTCCAGCTTGAATATTTACCATTAGTCCACTGGGAAAGTAGCTTTTTTTAACCCATTGCCTGGTCACGCCTGAACCTGAACCCTGATTCCTGTTTTCAATCGTGGCGGCGTATCGGAGCACTTATTTCAAATACATTGCGGAAAGCTACAGAATTCACGGATTTTCCCTCTCGTGAACGACACCAAAACCTTGAAAACGGATAGAAAAGTGTGAATAATCTCTACTCGACTAGCTTACCTGCGATAGCTTCCTCTGTGGCTGTGAAATATAAAACAAACACGAGAAAAATTGTCCAACGCATCTTCGCAAAGAATTTGACTCCAGTCTTGAAGAGTGAGCTTCAAATATTAAACTTAACCTCTTTGAGGTAATTCTACTTCTTCACTTCTCTACAGATCCACGCTTCGACCTCGGCGAGGGTTTTTGGGCTCTGATTTCACACATAGATCTTCACTTTGTAATATGATTACAAATTTAATCCGCAAAATCCGCAAATCTGTTGCCCTCAAGGGGTTACAGCGACAAAACCGGAAAGGCGGCGCATTGTTTGCAGCAAATTGTAGGGCTGCAAGTGCGGTACATGTTACTGAGAGGACATTCGCTTGTCATAAACAACCTGGAAAATGCACCTTGGTG